GGGTGGGTAGTGTGGGGCCACAATGAGAGATCAGAGTTTTACACAGGAAAACATAGGATTGGTTGATCGTATGTTGTTTTAAGTTCCGTTCAAGAATTTTTCACTCATATAGAGACTTCACCATATACCGGTGAAGGGCTTCAAATTTAGACCTTTATCGTACCTACGCCTGATGTGACAAGGGCCTCGGTTATTAAGGTCTCATCTGAAGGACCCGCAACTTTCACTTCAAATTGCCGATCGCTTGGCGAAGGATCAGTTGCTACCTATTTTTTATCGACTTAGGTCAGTCGCGGCCGGGACTCGAACCCCTTACCTTTCGATCATGGAGCGAGAGCTCTACAGAAAGAGTTATCGTGACGGGGGAAAATATAGGGAAAAAACATCTCTAAAATTCCTCTGTTTAAGGACAGCAAAGCCATTATTTGTAATATAGATATGGAAGCATCCTAAGGTAGCTTAAATTAAAGTTTGCCCCCCCCCCCTTCAATACTGAACTGATTTCTGCTTCTTCCTAGCCAATGAGCTCAGGTGAACGATGTGGCCCATGGCCCTCTTGTTGTATTTACTTCCACCCGGTAAATTCAAAAACTAAATATGACATTATTAATTCCAGTGTCAGATTGTTAATTGCTCTTAATTACAAATCTTTTTATAAGCGGGCTCTAGTATAAATTTGTTGAATAATAATTCAAAATTGCTGTAAAAAGGAAAGGGGGATGTTTTGAAAATATTTTCCGTTGATTTCTATAGTGAAAAACACAAGTTTTACCAAAATAATAATGCTTAGGCATAGTTTCCGAATACTTCTGATTGTACTTTCATTAACATTTCTCCACAGCTTTTAAAAAATAGTAGTAATATGGCGGTTTTTATATTCAATAGCGGAATTTGCTATTTCGTGCGATGTTCTGGCAAATATTTTATATACTTGTCCCGTTTTATTTTTGTTGTAGCAGTAGATTCAACTTTTCAGCTTCCTCAATACACGTACTTGTAATCCCAGCTAATCTGTAAAGGATTAGGCAATGAGGGAGAATTTGTTAGTTTATCCCAAGTTTTCTATTTTCATCCAGTTTGCTACAAACTTGTTCTTAACTCTGTGAAGACTGAAAAAAAATGAATTTAACACGAACAAAGAAACCCGAGTTTCCTGTGTGTTTATTCAGAAGTTATTTCTATAAATATAGTAATTTTATTAAAATCAGCTGTTTGTTTGGGTACGTTTACGATGTACTATATGTAGTACTTTTGATATATCTTTTTCATTGTGATAGTTTTTTTTCCCCATCTTTTAGTCATAAAAAGTCTAACTGCGTTGTCTATTCTGTCGCTTTAATAAAAAATAGTTTTTCTTTTAAAAGTACACCAAGTACTAAAAAAAAAAGATTTATATTTTTTTCATTTTTCATAATAAATCTGAAGATAAGGAAAATGGTAAGAATAACATTTAATTATTTGATTAATTATTCCTACTACATGTAGGACTGACAAACAATTCGACAGGGATTTTTGATACAATGGGTGCACGCAATAGGGATGTTGGGCCAAAGACTATTACTAATTGTGTATATCTCCCAAAGCTATGGAAAATTCCTTTTATTACATGTTTATGGCTCAAAACGTGTCGTACATTAAATCTTCATTACAAATAATCCATTTAAAAAAATAAATCAGTTCCATATATTGAAAGAACCAGTTTGATTTACACTGAGCTCAACAAAGATTTCATTGTGCATGTAAAACGTCAAATGACGTCATAGTGCATTTTGTGTATACTCGTAAAAATTCAAATATTCAACAACAAATATCTCTGTAACGGATGTACGTACCTTATCATGTCCGGAATAGAAAATGTAGGGAAAATTCCCAGCTTTCAGGTTATGACATTCATTTTTTTTTATTTTATTGGGTCTGTAAATAAGATAATGCTAACAGAAGATAGCACTAATTCAGTCATTTATGCGTAGTTTTATCAGCTTTCTGCAATGATATAGACTAAAATATTCTATTTAAGTTTATGATAATTTCTCAACATCGCACGAAAAAAATGTTTAGTTTCTTCTCTAGTTTTAGAAAATATCTATTGTTTTGTTGTAACCCGAAAATATTTAGAAAACACCAACAGTATATCTATGATGCTGAAAATGTGTCCAAATGCCTCTCTGGGGGTTAAAGGGTTAAGGGGGTCAGGTGAATGGCCTGCCCCCACTTATTTCTAAACATAACCTTCAACTATTGAAAATATTTATTGAAAGGTTGCCCCTTCCCCACCTTTCTGTTGTAGCAGAGTTCAATCATGGTAATTTGGTAATGTATTTTAATATAAAAAAAATTGATTTGTGAAATATGGAACATAAACACCCCCTTGCCATTCACTTCCATGCTGGCTACGCGCCTGAAAGTACTGTTTCACATGGACTCATATGATGAATAGCAATCATGCGTAGCATCAAAACTTGAGTCTAGGCAGCAGAAGCGTGTGATACAGAAGTGACTCATGTCTGCATTAATGATATCCACAGTGGCTCCATGGCCAGATCAGTGACGGATTCAGGGGGTTGGGGGAAGGGGTTCGGGACATTCCCCCCCCCTCCCCTCCCCGGCGCTCGAAGATTTTTTTTACAAGTGTCATTTTAACAAGATATTCATAAATGAGATTGACTCTATATCCAAAACCATTGTTCTAAATAAATACCGGTATACAGTCAGCATGTAAAAGGAAATCCCTTTCCGCTTGCACGCACATAATATACTGGTAATCGTATAGAGGTTGGTATGATCCGTGCAGACCCACAGTTACGGCATTGCTTTGGTATTGTTCTTGCAAACAGTTTTTCTGATAATTGTTTTAATTTTATTGAACTACATTAATCTGAGATCAAGTTCGAGGATAAGAGAAAGTTTTGGAAATCCATTATTACACTTGCGTGTGCTATTTGATTTTACAGCTGTTGTCAGTTTAATGGAATTGAGCCGTCTCTGACAGAAGTTAGTTCATTCTTAGGTTAATAAGGTTTTGGAATTATTTTTCCTAATTTTCAACAAAAACTATTTATACTCATCATTTGTACGAACTGGAACTAGTTTTAAGTTTCTTTTACAAGTATTGTCAATTGTCGTTAACTCCAGGGTTCATAAAGAAAAAAAAACTTTAAATGGTTTTTTAATATCGAAGTATCAATATGCAGATAAAATGTGGTCGATACCAAGGCAACCTTAAAAAAGTGTTCGTTTGCCCTCTCCCGACCGACTAGTTAAAATGGCCCGACACACAACTTTTTTTTAACCTTTGGTAGTAGAAAATGATTGTTTGGCTGTATGATGTTTTACGTCCCCTCGAGAATTATTCATTTATATAGAGACGTCAACATGTACCGGTGAAGGGGTTCAAATTTAGACCTTTACTCGGCAATCAGGGCCTTTGAGCAGTGATCCAGGGATCTTCATCGTGCCTACGCCTGCCATGACACGGGGCCTCGGTTTTTAAGACCTCATAAGAAACTTTCACTTCAAAGTGCCGATCGCTTGGCGAAGGAACAACTGGTACCTATTTTTTATGGACTTAGGTCAGTCGCGGCCGGGGTTCGAACCCACGACCTTCCGATCACGGAGCAAGCGCTCTGCCTACTAAATTTCCGTGACGTAAATTAGGGTAGAAAATGGATTTGTCAACACTTTACATGTAAACAAAATCATTCGTTTACCCTTTCCGAGGTTCGGAGAGGCGTTGAAAAGTTATTTCGTAGATCTTTTGAAAGCAGGAACACTTTTTTTTTTGGTTTAACGAAACCGAAGACATGTCTGTGTTGGGGAAATACCATCTAATATTGACTTTTTGAAAAGAATTTTCACCTATGCTGCTTCTGCAAGAATGTCAGATCTTGTATTTCATATATTTATCTATTGAAATGTATTTTCATATGCACATTTTAATATATATTTACATTTTTCCTAAATATTTATACACAATTTACACTTTTTAAAAAATTTTTTTAGACCCGTCTAAATCCCCTAATACTAAGGGCCTGAAGGGTCACTAGAGTATAATACTACACTGTAAATGGTCCTTAGAAGAATAAAACAAAACAAAATATCTTAATAAATGATCATGAAGATACATTGTCCAAAAGCAACTTAAGAAAAATAGGTTGATCAGGGATGTAGATTAATTTACCTGTCTGTACTTTTCAGCTAGTGCTTATAGAATAGCGTTTATCATAAACACCATACATACTTCACACAGCAATAGTGTTTCAAAACTAATTATAGTAACGGTAACCCCATCATATTCTTTAACACTGGCCGGTATTTAACATACAAAAATAATTTGTTTTGGTTCATTTCTATGTAGATAAAAGTCTACTCGACTATTAAAAACTATGAAAATACTTTATTGTATTATACATTAAAAAATCTTTTATGATTTATTCCATTGACCTATCGGTTACATGTACATTATTTGCAATGAATATCATAGGTGAAAATGATCCATACTTTCGAAAATCTGATAAAAATAACCTTGCTTATTACAATTTTGCACTCAGTCAGCCTCCTAGATGCCCAGGAACAGAGTCAATTTTTAAAGAATGGCTTATTAATGCATTTTCACTATGTTAACAATAGAGTTCAAGTCTAAAAATAGATCTCCTGAATCAGAGGACAGGGATTTAACAATTTGAAAGAGGCATCCTTGCTCATTTAAACTAACACTTATCAGTTTGCTTAATATTCCGAGGAAGAGAAGATGATTATGAAAGAAATAATTCATTTTCACTATATATTGCAAATCATGCCAAATTTTGTTAAAATCGGTTAAGTGATTCCCTAAAATCTCAAATAAGCTGACAATGTTTAATTTCAACGCAAGACAACAGACAAAGGTGAATCTGAGTGACTCAGGTGACCTGAAAGTGATAATAATATTCCTTTACTACTGATTCTATAGTTTTAGAATAGATATGTGTATACATGTCTATATACATGTAAGAATAAAAAATAAATGACTTTATCAATAATCTCTGTGTCTCCACATTCAAAGATATCATCCAGGTGGCCAGTTCATCTGTCTGCCTCCCATAACATGTATGTGAAGATGATGTACAGACTGAGCCCCATCTGGTCCTTCATTAATTACTGAGGGAAAAAAAGCAGAAATCCGTAAATTATGAGAAACAAAATGGGTGATATATACGGATACTTTGAGCAGACAATCTATGAAATTAAATAAATTTTTTTTTGTATATCCATATGTTGTAAATGTTTTGATTAAATTTTTAATGTATTATTTCTGTGTATACATACGTGTTTTAACTCAGTTTATGTGTACCATATGTAATACTTGTACATATTTTACTTTACCTAATCTATATCCATTTGATAGATTCTCTTGCTCTGCAACTTTCTTAGCAGTCAATAAAATGTGCCCTAAAAGCTGAAAGAAGAAATTTCATTTACACAAAATATTATACATATTATAATATATCAACATTTGTTTAATTACTTTAGGTCTAACTATTTCAAAACAAGCAGGTCTGATATGTGACTACACTTGATATAATTTATGAAAGTATTTCACAAAAAGAAGCATACATAGAAATGATATATAGCACAATTTATATGTACAGCTGATGGCAAATTCTATATTTCATCTAAATTTTTAAACAGAAGTAAAGTGTAGGACAAATGTAGCTTTTCATTCTTACTTCAGTCTAAAACAATAAACATAGGTAATCAAAGATTATGAAGCTCACCTCGACGAATGTTATCTATAAGTAAGGCAAATTTCACATCATATTTTTTTTTCTAGTTAGGGAACATCCCAAGATTAATATCGTTGCAAGTTTGGTTTAAGTAAGACTTGTAGTTACTTGGAAATAGACCTGCTCAAAAAACTTTTCACCTGTTTAGTAATCATAAAAATTTTGGTCAGTTCCCACATCCAAAGCAAGTCTGGAAATTTTCATCCTTAGATGCACCATCTATGCAAGTTTAATCATAACAGGCTATAATAGTATATAGCTACACCAAAACAATTACCCTGGTCATTCATCTGGATAATGTAGATCAGATTCAGAATCCAAAGCAAGTCTGGTAGTGTCCATCCCTAGATACATCATCCATGCTAATTTGGTTAAAATATGGCTAAAATTCACTCATGTAGAAAATCTAGGTCAGATTCAGCATCTGAAGCAGGTTGGTTAGTATCCATCCCTAGATGCATCATCCATGAAAGTTTGGTCCAGGTAGGGCTTATAGTTACTTGGGAATGGACCTGCTCCTAAAACTTTAATCTGGTCACTCATCTGGAAAATCTAGGTCAGATCCAGCATCCAAAGCAAGTGTGGTAGTGTCCATCCTTTGGATGCATCATCCATGCAAGTTTGGTCCAGTTAGGGCTAATAGTTACTTGGGAATGGACCTGCTCCTAAAAATTTAACCTGGTCACTCATCTGGAAAATTAAGGTCAAATTAAGCATCTGAAGCAAATGTGGTAGTGTCCATCTCTAGATGCATCATCCATGCAAGTTTGGTCCACGGAGGGCTAATAGTTACTTGGGAATGGACCTGCTCCAAAAACTTTAAGCTGCAAAACTACACTGTTCCAAAATCTAACCCTGGTCTCACATGTAGAAAATCTACCACAGATCCAGCATCCGAAGCAAGTGTGGTAGTGCCCATCCTTTGAATGCATCATCCATGCAAGTTTGGTAAAGGTAGGGCTTATACTTACCTGAGAACGGACCTGCTCCAAAAAATTTAACCTGGTCACTCATCTGGAAAATCTAGGTCAGATCCCGCATCCAAAGCAAGTGTGGTCGTGTCCATCCTTTGGATGCATCATCCATGCAAGTTTGGTCCAGGGAGGGCTAATAGTTACTTGGGAACGGACCTGCTCCAAAAACTTTAAGCTGGTCACTCATCTGGAAAATCTAGGTCAGATCCAGCATCCGAAGCAAGTGTGGCAGTTTCCATCCTTTGGATGCATCATCCATGCAAGTTTGGTACAGGGAGGGCTAATAGTTACTTGGGAATGGACCTGCTCCAAAAACTTTAATCTGGTCACTCATCTGGAAAATCTAGGTCAGATCAAGCATCTGAAGCAAGTGTGGTAGTGTCCATCCCTAGATGCATCATCCATGCAAGTTTGATCAAGGTTAAGGGTTTATAGTTACTTGGGAATGGACCTGCTCCAAAAACTTTAATCTGTTCACTCATCTGGAAAATCTAGGTCAGATCAAGCATCTGAACCATATGTGGTAGTGTCCATCCCTAGATGCATCATCCATGCAAGTTTGGTCAAGGTAGGGCTTATAGTTACTTGGGAATGGACCTGCTCCTAAAACTTTAACCTGGTCAATCATCTGGAAAATCTAGGTAAGATCCAGCATCCCAAGCAAGTGTGGTAGTGTCCATCCCTAGATGCATCATCCATGTAAGTTTGGTCCAGGGAGGGCTAATAGTTACTTGGGAATGGACCTGCTCCTAAAACTTTAATCTGGTCACTCATCTGGAACATCTAGGTCAGATCCAGCATCCAAAGCATGTGTGGTAGTGTCCATCCTTTGGATGCATCATCCATGCAAGTTTGGTCCAGGGAGGGCTAATAGTTACTTGGGAATGGACCTGCTCCAAAAACTTTAAGCTGGATACTCATCTGGAAAATTTAGGTCAGGTCCAGCATCCGAAGCAAGTGTGGTAGTGCTCATCCTTTGGATGCATCACCCATGCAAGTTTGGTCCAGGGAGGGCTAATAGTTACTTGGGAATGGACCTGCTCCTAAAAATTTAACCTGGTCACTCATCTGGAAAATTTAGGTCAGATTAAGCATCTGAAGCAAATGTGGTAGTGTCCATCTCTAGATGCATCATCCATGCAAGTTTGGTCCAGGGAGGGCTAATAGTTACTTGGGAACGGACCAGCTCCTAAAACTTTAATCTGGTCACTCATCTGGAAAATTTAGGTCAGATCCAGCATCCGAAGCAAGTGTGGCAGTGTCCATCCTTTGGATGCATCATCCATGCAAGTTTGGTCCAGGGAGGGCTAATAGTTACTTGGGAATGGACCTGCTCCAAAAACTTTAAGCTGGTCACTCATCTGGAAAATTTAGGTCAGATCAAGCATCTGAAGCAAGTGTGGTAGTGTCCATCCCTAGATGCATCATACATGCAAGTTTGGTCAAGGTAGGGCTTATAGTTACTTGGGAATGGACCTGCTCCTAAAACTTTAACCTGATCAATCATCTGGAAAATCTAGGTAAGATCCAGCATCCGAAGCAAGTGTGGTAGTGTCCATCCCTAGATGCATCATCCATGTAAGTTTGGTCCAGGGAGGGCTAATAGTTACTTGGGAATGGACCTGCTACTAAAACTTTAATCTGTTCACTCATCTGGAACATCTAGGTCAGATCCAGCATCCAAAGCATGTGTGGTAGTGTCCATCCTTTGGATGCATCATCCATGCAAGTTTGGTCCAGTTAGGGCTAATAGTTACTTGGGAATGGACCTGCTCCTAAAACTTTAAGCTGGATACTCATCTGGAAAATTTAGGTCAGGTCCAGCATCCGAAGCAAGTGTGGTAGTGTTCATCTCTAGATGCATCATCCATGTAAGTTTGGTCCAGGGAGGGCTAATAGTTACTTGGGAATGGACCTGCTCCTAAAACTTTAATCTGGTCACTCATCTGGAAAATCTAGGTCAGATCCAGCATCCAAAGCAAGTGTGGTAGTGTCCATCCTTTGGATGCATCATCCATGCAAGTTTGGTCCAGTTAGGGCTAATAGTTACTTGGGAATGGACCTGCTCCTAAAAATTTAACCTGGTCACTCATCTGGAAAATTAAGGTCAAATTAAGCATCTGAAGCAAATGTGGTAGTGTCCATCTCTAGATGCATCATCCATGCAAGTTTGGTCCACGGAGGGCTAATAGTTACTTGGGAATGGACCTGCTCCAAAAACTTTAAGCTGGATACTCATCTGGAAAATTTAGGTCAGGTCCCGTATCCGAAACAAGTGTGGTAGTGCTCATCCTTTGGATGCATCATCCATGCAAGTTTGGTCCAGGGAGGGCTAATAGTCACTTGGGAATGGACCTGCTCCTAAAAATTTAACCTGGTCACTCATCTGGAAAATTTAGGTCAGATTAAGCATCTGAAGCAAATGTGGTAGTGTCCATCTCTAGATGCATCATCCATGCAAGTTTGGTCCAGGGAGGGCTAATAGTTACTTGGGAACGGACCAGCTCCTAAAACTTTAATCTGGTCACTCATCTGGAAAATTTAGGTCAGATCCAGCATCCGAAGCAAGTGTGGCAGTGTCCATCCTTTGGATGCATCATCCATGCAAGTTTGGTCCAGGGAGGGCTAATAGTTACTTGGGAATGGACCTGCTCCAAAAACTTTAAGCTGGTCACTCATCTGGAAAATTTAGGTCAGATCAAGCATCTGAAGCAAGTGTGGTAGTGTCCATCTCTAGATGCATCATCCATGCAAGTTTGATCAAGGTTAAGGGTTTATAGTTACTTGGGAATGGACCTGCTCCAAAAACTTTAATCTGGTCACTCATCTGGAAAATCTAGGTCAGATCAAGCATCTGAACCATATGTGGTAGTGTCCATCCCTAGATGCATCATACATGCAAGTTTGGTCAAGGTAGGGCTTATAGTTACTTGGGAATGGACCTGCTCCTAAAACTTTAACCTGATCAATCATCTGGAAAATCTAGGTAAGATCCAGCATCCGAAGCAAGTGTGGTAGTGTCCATCCCTAGATGCATCATCCATGTAAGTTTGGTCCAGGGAGGGCTAATAGTTACTTGGGAATGGACCTGCTCCTAAAACTTTAATCTGGTCACTCATCTTGAACATCTAGGTCAGATCCAGCATCCAAAGCATGTGTGGTAGTGTCCATCCTTTGGATGCATCATCCATGCAAGTTTGGTCCAGGGAGGGCTAATAGTTCCTTGGGAATGGACCTGCTCCAAAAACTTTAAGCTGGATACTCATCTGGAAAATTTAGGTCAGGTCCAGCATCCGAAGCAAGTGTGGTAGTGCTCATCCTTTGGATGCATCATCCATGCAAGTTTGGTCCAGGGAGGGCTAATAGTTACTTGGGAATGGACCTGCTCCTAAAAATTTAACCTGGTCACTCATCTGGAAAATTTAGGTCAGATTAAGCATCTGAAGCAAATGTGGTAGTGTCCATCTCTAGATGCATCATCCATGCAAGTTTGGTCCAGGGAGGGCTAATAGTTACTTGGGAACGGACCAGCTCCAAAAAATTTAATCTGGTCACTCATCTGGAAAATTAAGGTCAGATCCAGCATCCGAAGCAAGTGTGGCAGTGTCCATCCTTTGGATGCATCATCCATGCAAGTTTGGTCCAGGGAGGGCTAATAGTTACTTGGGAATGGACCTGCTCCTAAAACTTTAATCTGG